GTTCACTATTGAACCCCAGTTCCCCCCCCCTCCCCCCCCCAGTACCTACAATCCCACCTACCTAGGGTTTTCATTCCCCGACGGCACCCCAAACGTGCTAATGATACCACCCACCGCCAAGGTCGGCGGCCATTAACCACCTATCGACCCTTATTGGGCCACGCACGCACACTATTTTTCATTCATTTTCGTCACCAACATCAACGACCATCATTCCTCTACCGACCCCTATCGGGCCACACACATACACTCTAATCATTCTCTCCCGTCACCACCATCGGCGACCATTAGTCATCTCTCGACCTATACCAGGCCACTCACACACACTCTGATCATTCTCTCTCGTCACCGATATCGGCGACCACTAGCCATCTCTCGACCTATACCAGGCCACACACGCACACCGTTTTCATTCACTTACGTCACCAACATCGGCGACCATTAGCCATCTCTCGACCTATACCAGGCCACTCACGCACACTCTGATCATTCTCTCCCGTCACCGATATCGGCGACCACTAACCATCTCTCGACCTATACCAGGCCACGCACGCACACCATTTTTATTCACTTGTGTCACCAACATCGGTGACCATCGTCCACCTATCGACCCCTATCGGGCCACACACACACACTACTCATTCTCTCCCACTGCCCCTCTTCGCCCACTACCTATGACATGCCCTAGGTGCCCCTACTCACACTGTCTTTCCCCTGCCGCCTCGAACTTTACTCACTCGACCGACACTTTCTCTCTCTCCCCCCCCCCCCTCCCTCGGTCCTGCTCTCTCCCAAAGCTCCAGCTACCCCACTCCACTCCCTCAAGCACCTCACTCACCCCGCGGATCCTTCCCTTCCCAAGCGTTCACTCACTGCCTCTCCCTATCTCTCTCTCGGATAATATCCTCCCGCCACAACATCTTTCTATCTCCTCCCGCGTTACTCACTCCACCCGTTCCCTCTCCCAGAGCTCAGTAACCTCACACCTCTTCCTCTCTCCTCCCGCGTTGCTCACACAACCCGCTCACTCTCACACAGTTCACACACATCTTCCTATCCTCCCCCGCGTTGCTCACACAACTCGTTCCTCCTCACACCGCTCATTAACCTCACACATCTTCCTCTCTCCTCTCGCGTTGCTCACACAACCCGCTCCCTCTCACACAGTTCACACATATTTTCCTCTCTTCCAACCTCCACTCACTCCACACTCCTATCTCTCTCTCGGCCTTCGCTCGTACCGTCACCTTCTCCCTCTCTCCTCCCGCGATTCTCACGCGACCAACTTCCTTCCACCTGCCTTATTCCACACACTCACCCTACACGGCCTCCTCCGTACACCGCTACTTCCATAAGCCGTCACCACGCACACCACACATCCAAACATTTCAAACTCAAATCAACACACGTATTTGAAGTTTGTTACCGTACCTCCCATTTCCATCTTCCATCTTCCTTCTTTTGGTCGATCGCGCTATCACCGTCCGCGGTCTCCTCTTCTCTCCGCTTCGCTTCATTTCTCTCTCCTTCTGGAACCTTCCGTCCTCTCCTCTTTCTCTTTCCCGCTCCCCTTTTTCCTCTGTTATTTTTTCCTTTTTTTTCTTTTTTTTCTTTTTTTTCTTTTCTCTTTCCATTTTCCCCAGTTATTACATTAGTTGGTAGTGAATTAGTGTGGTATTATTGTCAAAAGTGCGGATGTGTTTTGCGTTCTGTGGTTGGTGTGTTGACGAGGCTAACTGTTGAGGGTTAGAGGAGGTAGGAGGGAGCCAAGTTTTGTCATATGTTGGCATAAGATGGGGAAAAGTAGAGTGTTGGAAGTAGTAGGTAACGATCGGGAATAAGTGTGAGCGTGAGGAAAGTAATGATCGGGAGAGAGTGTGGTTAATAGTAAAGAGGAGAAATAGGGTGTAGAATGAAGTAGATATAAAATATTGGGGAGGAAGTTTAACTAATTGTCAAACTTTAGTTTTCAATTCTAAATTTTATTTTATTAAATTATGCATATTCATTACTTTCATTTTCAGATACATTGAAATAGAAACTGAAACTGGAATGTTTAGCAATGGTACCTAACGGAGATAGGATGTTAATATTGAAATTGAGATATAATAGTACAACTAATCGTGTTAAAATAATAGTTAAACTTTCACCTTGTTGAATTATTTAGATTCATTACATTGGTGCAGGATAATATATATTCTATTTTAATGTATACAGGACATGATATGAATTGTCACACAAATAATTATATTAAATCTATATATATACATAAAATAACCAAAATAAAAATATTTTTGGAATAATAATTTTATTGTGAAGAGACATGTCCTTTCTTCTTGTACCAAAATGGAATTCAAACCACCGTCCCTATCAATTTAAGAAAATTAGATCACAATGAAAAGACATACGTATGAATCTATATCTATATATATAAATATATATGTCATAGAGAGAACTGTAATTTCCTTTTTTGGTATCATGAAATATTCACGGGGCATTCTCTAAATATTTTAAAAAACAATCTTAAAAATCGCCGCTAAAGATAAATTAATTTTATCATCTCTTTAGCCAATCAATTGTGGTATTACAAATTATCGAAATTTGACTTTGACCGCTGTCGCTTATACTATGTGGGGCCCCCGGGTCAACACAGATTAACCTACAGAACTGCAAGGAGATGGAGAGATTGATGAAGACGAGGGTATTTTTGTCATTTTGCTTTAAGTGTAAATCCAATTTCTCCGTACTAACTTTCCGCTCTTTTCGCTTAAAAGAACTCTAAAAGCACAAACCATTGGCTTATAACCTTTCATTAGCTCTGATTTCACCAAAACCACCTGCATTTTTTAAAAGCTCCTTACCGAAATGGAACTCTCTTTTCCTTAGATTATATATATATATATATATATATGCTTTCTGTGTATATGTATCCGTGTGTACAGTATATATATATAGTTTGATTTTTGCGAGGAACCAACTCAAAACACAGAGAGAGAGAGAGAGAGAGAGGGGAGGAGAGAAAGAGAAGTTTAATCTTAGCTACCATGTCTAATATAGAACATATTCTCTTGCTTCTTCCATCTTTCTTAGTTCTGGTTCTCGTTTTAATTCTGATTAAAAGAAAGCAGAGAAGATTAAATCTGCCGCCAGGCAACATGGGCTGGCCATTTATCGGCGAAACAATCGGATATTTGAAGCCTTTCTCTGCAACTTCCATCGGAGAATTCATGTCGGAACACATATCGAGGTAACAGGACTGATCGATTGATGGATGGATTAATTGATTTTCGAGCTAAAAATCAAGGACCCATCTGAGAAATTGACTGCTTTTTTCTGGGTTTGCGTGACTTTTCAGGTACGGGAAAATCTACAAGTCGAATTTGTTCGGCGAGCCGACGATAGTTTCGGCAGATGCGGGGCTGAACAGATTTATTTTGCAGAACGAAGGAAGATTATTCGAATGCAGTTACCCGAGAAGCATCGGCGGCATTCTTGGGAAATGGTCGATGCTGGTTCTTGTCGGAGACATGCATAGAGATATGAGGATTATATCGCTGAATTTTCTCAGCCACGCGAGACTCAGAACTCATCTGTTGAAAGAAGTTGAGAAGCAGACCCTTCTGGTTTTGAATTTATGGAAGGAGAACTCTGTGTTTTCAGCTCAAGACGAAGCGAAAAAGGTGAGAAATTTTGAGAAAACTTATAAAATCCTCTTCGTTTAATCCAATTTAACTTCGAGAGAATCAAGAGAGAAACTGTTCTTGCTGTCCACAGTTTACGTTCAACTTAATGGCAAAGCATATCATGAGCATGGACCCTGGGCACCCCGAAACAGAACAGCTTAAAAGAGAGTACGTTACTTTCATGAAAGGAGTTGTTTCTGCTCCATTGAATTTTCCTGGAACTCCATATCGAAAAGCTTTGCAGGTAAAGCTCAGAAAACTCCATTATCGTTCACTACGAGCTTCTGTTCATCTTGTCGGGTGCTCTATTTTTTCAGTCTCGGTCAACCATATTGAGGTTCATCGAGAGAAAAATGGAGGAGAGGATAAGAGAAAGCAAGGAGGAAGACGATCTTCTCGGGTGGGTCTTGAAGCATTCGGACCTCTCAACTGAGCAAATTCTTGACTTGATTCTCAGTCTACTCTTTGCGGGCCACGAAACTTCATCTGTCGCCATAGCTTTGGCCATCTACTTCTTGCAGGCTTGTCCCCGTGCTGTTCAGCAGTTAAAGGTAATACTAATCATGGGTACTTAGCTTAATTAGTCATAATTTTCTGAGTAGTAAGAAGATTAATTTTTATTTACTTTTTATTTTATTAGGAAGAACATCTTGAAATAGTGAGAGCAAAGAAGCAAACAGGGGAAGTGGAGTTGGATTGGGAAGATTACAAAAAAATGGATTTTACTCAATGTGTAAGCCTGGGTTTTACCAAATATAATTAATTCGTTTCTTTAATCTAATTAATTAGTAAAAGATCAATATTAATATTATAAATACTCTGGCATACGTTATATTTATACGTACTTGTGTTCTTACTACGAAGGTTATCAGTGAGACCCTTCGGCTTGGAAACGTAGTCAGGTTTTTGCACAGAAAGGCTCTTAAAGACGTGAGGTACAAAGGTAACATTAATTAATATCGTTTGCATGAGGAAAATTACTTGAAAATTACTGTGATTTACTGAAAAGACAAATGTTATTATTTACTGAAATAGGATATGACATTCCATGCGGGTGGAAAGTGTTGCCGGTTATTTCAGCGGTACACCTAGATCCGTCACTTTTCGAGGAGCCGCAGCAGTTCAATCCATGGAGATGGCAGGTTAGTCTCTACGAATTAAACGACAGCGTTTACAAATTATTTGAAGTTTCATTTATATTAACTAAATAAATGATAACATTACGCCGTCGTTTTTTGACCCCGTGGTATATGTTGGATGAAGACAAAACCTTCGCTATTGATATGAAAAGTTTTGAGGGATTGACCCAAAATTTTAGTTTTACCTTTTTAGAAAGAAAAAAAAAATGATTTTCAGTTTAAAGTTTAAAATTTTAATCTCATCGACTGATAATTTACCTTAAATTATCCTAATCCTTAAAAATGTTTTATGCTGTTTCATTTCTAACAGTTATATAGAACAACAATAATTTAATGAAATCATATATATATATGTAAGATATAATGGAGAAAAATTTACAGTGTACCGTCTTTGAGTGGGTCCCACAAAAAGCAGCAGTAATTAAGATCAACAATGTCCCTCGTGCGTGTGGGGAGGTGTGGGGGAATGAGATGATTAAAGCCCATGTGGGTTTGTGGGGTTCTCACATGCACGTGCATGATGAGTGCTTTATCATTATTATTATTATTGTTTGCTAAATTGCTCCTCAATTTCTCTCTTTAATTCGTGTTAAATTATATAATCTACTTTAGTTATTAAAAAAATAAAATAAATATAAATTAAAATAATTTTCTATATATTTGTTGTACAGCAAAATAATAATAACAACGGAGATCGTGTGTCAAATTCAAGTTGGCCGAGCACGAGCGCAACAAGCAGCAATTACTTCATGCCATTCGGGGGAGGACCACGGCTATGTGCTGGGTCCGAATTGGCTAAGCTAGAAATGGCCGTTTTCATCCACCACTTGGTCCTCAATTTCCACTGGGACTTGGCTGATTTTGATCAAGCCTTTGCTTTCCCCTTCGTTGATTTTCCCAAAGGCTTACCCATCAAAGTCTACCACCACACATTAAAATAAATCTTTCCCACCCCATACATATATATATATATATTCTCTAAATTAATTATACCTATTTGAAGGTATCCGTACATATTTTTATAGTATTTTGTTATATAGTTACCAATTTGACAATTATAATTATTATAAAATTATATTTTGTTACCGTCTTAAATATTATTTAATATCCTATGAAAATAATAATAAATGATAGATAAACATTATACTAAATATTATTTTATCTATCGTTCGTTATCATATTTTTTTTTTGCGACTTTATTAATTAATATGGTATAGATAATAATAAAAATGGTAACAAAATATAATTTTATAATAACTATTGATAGTCATATTTAACGAGATCACAATAGTTTAAATAGGTAAGATACTTGTTGAAATCAAAATATCCCTCCCTCACTTTAACTTTTAGCCTCTCAAGTTGGATTTTTCAATAGATTTTTAATGTATTTTTTATAATTTCAATTATATTATTAAGGATGACAACGAACTGAGTTCATAGTGAATTAAATAATGACAATGGAGTGCGTTTAACCAATCAAAATCTATATTTTGACTTTAAAAAACTGTATTTAGATAAATTATATTAAATGAATTGATTCAAAAAGTTATTGTCATATCTCCCACATGAAAAATAATAAAATTACACACAATAGAGTATCGTTCTTATCTCTCGTATATATAAAAAAAAAAACTACATATAAATATTAATTAATTACCAGTAATGGAGTCGGTTCAGGGTGAATTATAACGAATTTTAGGATATCAAACTCAAACCCACTCCGATCGGCCTCAATTTTTTTTTACTAATTCGAATTTAACTAATTAAAATCTATATTTTTAAAAACTTTATTGTAATTGTTAAATTATTTTTTTAATCTATAATTTGAATAATTATTTTATTTTGATTTAGTTTTGATATT